TAGAACTTTTTCAGCTTTTAAAAGCTTCCAATCTAGGTACACATTTGAGCAAAAAATCCATAAAAAGTATTTTTCTCTCTAAGTAAACGATACAAACTTTTTGCTTTTATATCATTTTGTATCTTTATGTGACACTTTACTTTATGTGAAAAAAGAAAAATCTAAATATAAGAAGCATATAAAATAACTAGTATATTCTTTAAAAAAAAATAAGAAAAGTAGAGGAAATTCGGATAAGCCAATATCTATTTCAGTTAAATTATGTCAATTTGGTAAGATCATCTACAATGCCTTATATGGTAATATCTTCTCATGCACAAAAAAAATCAGTCTTTTGAAATGCTAGTAGGGATCGAATGATTAGTTACAAAAACTTTTAATTCTTAATGTCCAGGGAAAATGTAATGGCCTTGATCTGACCTTGTCTCTAATATAAGACGGTCAAATTTAACCTCACTGATACCATCACTTATTGATTTTGTTTTCTTGATTCTGTGAAAATTTCATTAATTTTTTAATACAAGAAATACCCGGTATGAGAAGAATCCTACCTCAGGGGAAGAGGTCACTGTTACGAAATTTTCTCTGTACAACGTATCGTTATTAAGTTGCATTCCTTCCGTGCAAATGGCTGTAAAATACAAAAAATACCACTTCTACAAAATTTGAGTTGAATTTTTATCATTCAATACAGATAAATGTCTATTTGAGTTGAAATACCTACGGACACAGTCATTTTGTGAGCTACTGCTTTGATAAAATGTAGTGTAATTCTCTCCACAAGACTGACATATGAGCTTCCACGACTTTCTTTCACGGTAAAATCCATAATCACATGCTTCACAAGTTAAAAACATGTTCATACCCTCACCCCCAAGACATCCTAAAAAGATAATACAACCGTATTAGAGTTAAAAAAGAAATACCTTTTTCGTTGATTAAAAAGATAAGGTGCATAACAATGATAAGGTACAAGTAGTTAATAGTGACATAACTATTAATACTCAATATACCCCAGTCCACATCATTAACAAAAAAGAAAATTTGTATACTTCATATTTATCTACGATACTGAGAATATATTTTTTTCAAAAATTAATGGACAGGAGGGTAAAAAAAATGTACAAAGCTGCACTAGCTTAGTAAATCTTGACCCAACACCCAGTTTAATATGTACTATTTAGAAAAAGTAGGAGATACATGTACTGTAGTTTGTGATCAAAATGTTAATATATTCAAAGGGATGCTAAGACATGTTGCACATTTCCTAGGAAGCATCAACCAAACATATCAATCACAGTCTATCGATCTGTATGGGATACAACTTATGATCAAGGGTGTTGGGCTACAAAGATGCATGCTTCTGAATTAGAAGGCTGAGGCCATTCTAAAGAAAGATTCTGAAGAAAAAGCATCAGTTGATGAAATCGTTAAATAAACAGAAACCATGCACAGTCTAACACTTGGCTAGCTGCAGGTTGGCACAAGACAGGTCGCTGTGTCAAGGGCAATAAATGTTTCCCAGTCTGTTATCAGCAGATTATGGTCCAGACATCGTGCTACAAGGTCTGTACAGGATAGACCACGATGTTGTCGACCAAGAGCAACAACTCAGACTCAGAACAGATTCATCCACACCAATGCCTTGAGAAATCGTTTGGTAACTGCAAATCAAATGTCTCAACCTCAAAGGGATAATGGCTTGGTAGTGAATGGCCAGACAATCAGGGATCGACTGAATCACAGATTTCACTCACACTTCCGATGTCCTAGTGTTATTCCTTGTTTGAGGGATCGTCACATTAGGATCCGACTCCAATTGTGTCTTCACATCAACGCTGTGATAAGTCGATGTTGACTATAGGCTGTCAGGGCAGACGCAGGAGGGTTTTGCACAAATCTATTAACGAATGTTTCCATGACGTTAACTTCATTAGACACCCCATGTTGTGCCGTTTGCACGTCTTTCTGGTGCCGTTTCATTTTTCAAGATTACAATGCCGAATGTCTTAAGGCTAGTTTCGTTACAGATTACGCATGACCCGCACTCAGTCCAGACCTTTCTCCAAAAGAGCATGTCTAGGACATGCTTGTACACCGGCTACGCCAACATCAATGAGTTGTTGACGTTGGCATTTCAACTGTACTCCCTACGAATGTCCAAGCGCTTGCTGCAGCATTGCAACAGGAATGGAATAGCCTTCCCCAAAATTACCTGGGACGTCTCTTTAGAAGTAGATCACGCGGAATCCGAACTTGTCTGACCAACAAAGGGTTTTTACACTCTACTGATTCCGTTTCACATTGGTGGTAAATTGGCTGTGTGACCCAGTATTGATGTCGACCCTTATTCTGGAGAATCTGTCCTTTTATGACTGCACACATGGTTTTGAATAAATTGACAAATGTTTTCTTATTGTTTTTTTGTCATTTGGCTGCTTCCTGACCTTATTATCTACATTTCTTTGTCCTTTTACATCCAATATTCCCTGCTTTTTTTAATTAACGTATCATTCATCAGACGTATATATGGAACGCCGTCACTGCCTTATAGCAGAACACAACAACTGCACTGCGTCAACCTTCTATTACATTATGTCAACTCTTTATGACATTTACTCACACAACTATTACATTGTGTCAACCTTCTATTACATTATGTCAACTTTACATGATATTAACTCATACTACTATAGCATTGTGTGAACTTTCCTTTACATTATGTCAACTCTTTATGACATTTAGTCACACTACTATTATATTGTGTGAACTTTCCTTTACATAACGTCAACTCCATATGACAGTTACTCACACTACTATTACATTGTGTCAACCTTCGGTTTCATTATGTCAACTCTTCATGACATTTACTCCCACTATTATTTTTTTGTTTCAACCTTTCATTACATTATGTCAACTCTTTATGACATTTACTCACACTACTATTGCGTTGTGTCAACCTTCCATTATATTATGTCAATCTTTATGACATTAACCCATACTACTACTGCATTGTGTCAACCTTCCATTATATTGTGTCAATTCTTTATGATATTATCCCACACTACTATTGCATCGTGTAAACCTTCCTTTTCATTATGTCAACACTTTATAACATTTACACATTCTTGCATTTCGTTATGTTTACTGTTCATGACATTTAATTAAACAACAATTACATTGTGTTAACCTATCATTACATTATGTCAATTCTTTATGATATTAACTCACACTAAGTACATTATGTCGATTCACTATTACGTTATGCGAACACGGGTATCCTCGGCCTTTATATGAGCATAACGTATTTTCCGCGTTCCGCAAGCACTAAATTGGCGGGAGAGAAAACTGTCGTAGAAGAAATCTCAGCGATTTGGGAATGGCATCTTTAAGTAAAAATTTTAAGCGACAAAGGATTGACAATCTTGAAACGTGCAAAGCCTGAACACTGCGACTGTGAATTAAAGTCACGTCGAAATTCAATGGCGTTTACTTTAATCTGATAATTAAATAAATCAAATATTATGAGTCGTGCAGCAATTTTTTTTTTCTTTTTATTTTGAATTGTTTGTTTGTTTGTTGTTTTTTTTTTTGGCTAAAAGTCTTAACTTCTGATCTTACTAAGAACATTGTAATAAGTTTTTTTTTATCAGTCTTGCACTTTCCTTTTGTTTTAAAGTGTAAACACATCGTATAACACACGTGCACTGGTGGGTTGGGGGGAGGGGGAAATCCCGCCCTACTTAGTGACCAAAATCTACATGTACATAAAATTAATAAATTTATTAGTTTTACTTTGTAGGACATTGCATTAGTTTCACATTAAGTTTAGCTGAATTAAGTTGAAAACTTTTTTATAAAACTATAAAGCCTGAGAGCTTCTCCGCTTTCCCCCTTGGTCTCCAACCATAAACCGTCCCCCTTCAGGCTTGGACATTTTTTTTTTTGTTCAAGATTCTCATATCCGTTACTGATATGTGTCCATGCATGCTTACTAAGGCATATTCAATTGATTTAGATGAGGGATTGGTAGATTTTTGTAATAGAACTCTGGCCCTGGAATGGTTGAAAAAATTACTAATTCCAGTGACGTATCGTCTTTTTCGAAAGGAGGGGGGGGGTCAGCCAGAAAAAAATATTCGCCCCCCCCCAAAAAAAAACTTGAGAAGCCCAAAAAAAATTTGTCCACTCCAAGCCCGAAAATCCAATTTCGGTGAGGGGGTCCAACTTCGATCAGTCCTAATTTTTTTGTCAGATATACTACATTACCCTCGGTGGACTATACTTCAACAAAAAGTGGGGTTGGGGGCTGTACTTTCAATGAACATTACATTTTCTATTGTAAAGTTATGTCTGGGGAAAGAGGGGGGGGGCTGATATTTTGTGCCTGTAATTCTTCCTAATCAATCAGGACCCCCCCCCCCCCCCCTCATACCAGTCATAAAACACGGTCGTCAACATTCATTTTATACCAGATATACAGCTTTGAGATAATGTAAATGTATTTTTACATCAGGTAATGCACTTTTGGAATCAACATGATAAAGAGTTAACGCAATATAAAGATATTTTAAGATCACATAAGAAAGAGTTGACATAACGTAATTATATATCCGCATCACGGAATTGAGTTTTGACATAATGTGATAAAGTGTTGATTACATAAAGATATGTTCACATAATGTCATCCTTTTTTTACACCACGTAATAAAGCACTGACATAAAGGTAAGATGTGTTCACCTCACATCATGATGCTCTCGCCGTAAAATAGAGATAAACCCATATCATGTAATAATGCTTTGATATAATAGAAATATACACTCTCAAAAAGGAATGGGCTTTTGACTTCATGTAATGATAAGTTTAATTATAAAACACAATTCACTTGACGTAATGCAATTTTGACCTCACATATTAAAGAAATGAAATGATGTAAAGAAACATTCATTTCACGTAATAAAGTTTTAACACAATGTAAACATATTATCACTTCACATAATGAATTTTCGACTTCACGTTACGAAGTGCTGACATAATGAAAGGATGTATTTACTTCATGTAATGCAGCTTTGACATGATGTAAAGATATTTTTACATAATCTCATAAAAAATTGACATAACGTAAAGATATGTTCACATCACATAATGATAAATTGACATAATAAATGCATAGTTGTATGCTATAAGGCAGTGTTGGCGTTCCATACGTATAACAGAATATAAAATGTTTTTAAAAAGCAACGAAGGGATGGCATTTTTTAAAATAGTTACCATCCTTTTAAATTTGCTATAAAATAAATTTTTTCCCATATGTTTTCTAAAATTCATGAAACGTTATCGATTATTGGGATTTTGGTTTCATGAATCCTATTTTATACAAGAGGCCCACGGGCCTTATAGGTCACCTGAGCATTATGCAACAACTTTCCAGTTACAGTGTATTGAATTTGATTCATGTTTTAAGCCAGATGCTATATGGCATTCACAGTTTTGAAAGGGCACCATTGAGCACAATAAACTTAGCAGTTGCTTAGCTTGGTTACTGAACAGCCATACGCAGGGTAGGGGAACAAAAATGCACTCCAACTAATCAGTAATATTCATCAATAATCAGTAGTGCCCCTAACACTCTGACATAAACCCCTGACCCTAGGTTGCACAAATTTTTAAAAGGCACCCTTAAAATTGCCTATCAAAAAGTAAATAAATGTTTTATAAATACAAAGGACCAGATTTCAAACAATTAATTCATTTTCAGTATATAAGTAGAGCCCCCTCCCCCCCGCCCCTGATCCTGGGGCCTTGAAATTCACAATTCTGCACAATTCTGCAAGATTAGGGCCCTTGCTCATCATAACTATATAGGTAGTTCATCTGCTTCATACCCAGAGACAGAGAAGAAAATTTTCAAAGATTTAATGTATCTTCACTATATAATCAATAGAGCCTCACCCTAACACCAGAACCCCAGACCCTGGGGTAATGAAATTCATTCATTAGAAGAGGCATTCTTGCTCATCATAACTATGCACTTACTTAGTTTATTTAATACCTAGGAGCAGAGAAGAAGATTTTCAAAAAATTCAGGTATTTTCACTTTATAATCAATAAAGCCCCCCCCCCCCCACCAGAACCATTGACGCTGGGGCCATAAAATTCAAAATTTTTGTAGAGGCACTCTTGCTCATCATAACTATGCACTTAGTTAGTTTATTTAATACCTAGGAGCAGAGAAGAAGATTTTCAAAGAATTCAGGTATTTTCACCATATGATCAATAGAGTCCCCCCCCCCCACCAGAACCCTTGACCCTGGGGCCATAAAATTCACAATTTTGGTTGAGGCACTCTTGCTCATCATCACTATGCACTTAGTTAATTTATTTAATACCTAGGAGCAGAGAAGAAGATTTTCAAAGAATTCATGTAACTTCACTATATAATCAATAGAGCCCCCCCCCAACACCAGAACCCTTGACAATAGGGCCATTAAATTCACAATTTTGGTTGAGGCACACTTGCTCATCATAACTATGTACTTAGTTAGTTTATTTAATACCTAGGAGCAGAGAAGAAGATTTTCAAAGAATTCATGTATTTTCACTTTATAAACAATAAAGTCCCCCCCCCCACCACCACCACCAGAACCATTGATGCTGGGGCCATAAAATTCACAATTTTGGTTGAGGCATTCTTGCTTATCATAACTATGCACTTAGTCAGTTTATTCAATACCTATGAGCAGAGAACAAGATCTTCAAAGAATTCATGTAATTTCACTATATAATCAATAGAGCCCCCCCCAACACCAGAACCCTTGACCCTGGGGCCATAAAATTCACAATTTTAGTAGAGGCACTCTTGCTCATCATAACTATTTACTTGCTTGGTTTATTTAATACCCAGGGGCAGAGAAGAAGATTTTCAAAGAAATCATGTATTTTTACTATATAATCAATAGAGCCCCACCCTAACACCAGAACCCCTGACCCTGGGGCCATAAAATTCACAATTTTGGTAGAGGCACTCTTGCTCATCATAACTATGTACTTAGTTGGTTTATTTGATACCCAGGAGCAGAGAAGAAGATTTTCAAAGAAATAATGCATTTTCACTATATACTCATTTAGCCCCGCCCTAGCACTAGAACCCCTGACCCCAGGGCCATGAATTTCATAATTTTGGTAGAGGACTCAATGCTGATTACAATCATGCAAATAGTTTGACTGCTTGATGTCCAGGAGTAAAGAAGAAGATTTTTAAAGATTGCATTAATTTTAGTGGTTTTGGCCCCACCCCTCAGGCCCCAGGGGGGCAGGGATCATGAAATTCACAATTTTTGTTCCCCTTTACCCATAGATGCTTTGTGCCAAATTTGGTTGAAATTGGTTCAGTGGTTGCAGAGAAGAAGCTGAAAATGTTCAAATGTTAACACACGACACACGACGGACGACGACGGACGAAAACGGATAGCAATAGGTCACCTGCGTTTACTCAGGTGACCTATCGATGTAGGAGGTTTATTAAAATAAACCACCGCGAAAAGATATCAACGGTTTCTATTTCGGCCCTTCTGTCAAAGCAACATAAATATCATTCTATTCTCCCTTCTTTCACAAAATTAATATTAATGTTTTTTTTACTCTGGACTTTATATCAAACAAATAGATTAGTCTAACAACAAAGGTTTATGATAATCGTGATAACTTCAATTTTCAACTGTCATTTTCCTTTACGCATGTAGTAATATGCCCTTATCACCTGAAAATGGGTTTAAATCTATCGCTGATTCGATATGCAGGAGGCTCAACGTACGAACAAGTTTCAAAACGAGATTAGTTCTTGACAAACAATTAAGTTGATGAAACCGGAATTTCAACAACCTCGTTTAAAGTAATCATTTGAAAGTTCTATGGTCGATACATTAACCTTTTCAGCAAAATCAATTATTGGGTCAGATGGTGTTTTTGATATTAATTGTTCAGCCTTTGATTACATACGGGGTTTTCTGCAGATTTTTTTTCGTTTGGGATGTTCTCTCCCATATTGCGCCTTGCCCCACCTCTGGTGTCCGTGTTTGCTCTGCTCCTGACTTGTGTTGTTTGATTGGACCTTTGAACTTGCTGTTCCTATTTCCTTATGTTTCATAATCTCTATTATTCACCTTCTGTCAAATTTGTCCATGACTTTTTGTCCAATATCAGTGATGAAATATTGAGATAACGAACGGTATTCAAGATCAAAAGTCCATAAAACAATACAATAGGAGCAGAGCTAACACGGACCCCCCAAAATCAGAGGTGGGATCAGATGCCATGGAGAAGTGAGCATCCCCTGCCGATCGGTCACATCCGCCGTGTGTTCCTTGTCATGATCGGGAAATAACGGAAAACTCCGTTGTAAATTCAGTGTATAAGTAACGGACGAACAATTACTATGAAAAACGTCAGTCAGCATTTGACTAAATGATAATTTGTACTTGCTGTCATTGTATCAACCATAGAACTTACGAAATGATGACTTTAAACGAGACTGCTGATATTCTTGTTTTATCAACTTGTTTTTCAATAATTTACCTCTTTATAGACACTGTTTATGCGTGGAGCATGTTCTTGCGTATCGAAGCAACTGAGATATCTATACTTCGTATGAAGGTGATGAATGTATATTGCTGCATAAGTACGGAAAGTGGACGATAGAAAAGTAAGTCATCACGTTGATCATAGAGTTTGGTTGTTAGATTACCATTAGCGTCTTTTTCAAGTAAAATATCCAAATATGAAACAGATGTGTCAGACTCAGTGGTATCTTTTATCTCAACTCACCAGGATACATCGTATCGACATGGAAATGTATTATTGACTCTAAGACACATACCAAATTTGGTAGACATCATTTCGGGAGTAGTTCACACTGATTTCAAGAAACTTTTGACAGTAAAAAAGCGTAGTACTCAAAGGTGACACTATGTTTTGAAAAATGAGTGAAAACAACAGCGTGTAGGAATATCTAAACAATTATTTTAAAATATCAGTAATTATAGTTATCCACGTTTGTTTGAACTTCAAACAGATAATGAAACTTGAATTTACTGCCTAAAACCTTAGAAACAAAATTTACAATAAGATGTACTTGACAAAAACAGCAAACGTCTGAGAAGAGCAGAGAATTGCAAGAGCACAAAGACAGATTTATATGCATTTTTCTTAAATATTAGTGATCTTGTTGTTCAAATTCGTATTCGGGGAGGCAGTTCAATTTCTGGAAAAGTCTAGAAAGCAATTTTTTTGCAAAAAATCGAAATGTTAATGAGAGGAAGGAAGCAGAATCAGGAACCCACTACATTAAAATTTCTTCATGACAGTGTCCAAACCCGCGCGCCCTGAAGAGTAAAGGAGTTTTTGTGATAAACAGAAAGTTAATGTTTTGTCACATTAACAATATTTGCCAGATCTTTCACCTTTTGACTTGTTTCATTTTCCAAACTTTAAAAAGAACCATTCAGAAGGAAAAAACGAGTCCAGGAAATCATAAGATCTGCCATTTTCCAGTACACTAAGGGTCATACCCAAAAATGAGTTCTAAAAACAATCAGAAACTGGATTAAAAAATTTACGGACATGTGTTTTAATGAAAAGAGAATATTAATATAAGTTAAATCATTAAGACTAAATCATTGAAAAACGTTTTTGCTTCTTTCCGAGCACCGAGGACATTATTTATTGAACAGCCCTCGTACATGATTTCTACTCTTTTTTAAGTTAGATAAATATACGATTTTTTTTCATGTTTTATAAATCTGTAAGCAACAAAAATAAGACGAAGTCTTATCTGTATAAAATAAACATTAGTAGTAATGACTTTGAAAACTCCATAAGTCAAAGAACATAGTTCATTAGCATTAGGAGTTTTGATAATCAGTGTTACCGTAGTTCTCTGCACATACGAGGTAAAGCTGGAGAGGGAACCAGACTGGCCTGTTTGTTTACATTCAGCTGCGGTACCAGATTAATTCTGATTCTGACAAAATCGGACCGTGGTATTAAGATTGAAAAACTCACTGTCAGTGTCTTATCGTTTATATTGATAGTTTTAAAATAATAATATAAACGTGATCAATGTAAGAAATCCATTCTACTCTGTAAATGAGCCCGGCTCTCTGTACTTCTGAGTACTTTGATTAATTTGGACATTCTCACAGACAAGAATTATATCACTAATATCTACAAAGTTCCTCTTTCAGAACGTACCTTTGCAGTCTTCTCCATCTGAGCCATCTAGGTCAAGGTCAGACGGCACTTCAGCTTTGTAATCTAAAGATAGATATGTTGAATTTAGTAATATTTAAGCGTACGCAGGAGATAGTACGAATTATATTTTATGTTACGAAAAACTGACCATTTTGTATCAATAATTTTCGTTGGATTTAATTGGCTTAGTTGTTATGAAGAGACCCATAGATGCAAGTCCTCCGCAAATTGTTTTAAAATTATCATAACAGCCAAGAACTTATATTTTTCCCAAAACCAGAAATATTTGATCAAAGAAAAAAATTGTAACATAAAAGTGGTAATAAGTCTTACCGTCCTTAAAATACAGACAATTATCTTCATCGACTAAGCCATCTTGATCATTGTCTTCTCCATCACCAGGGAGGAACTGGTTTAACGTTGAAAGCTTGAATAGAGAATTAATAAAGGGAAATACAATACACCTTCAATTGAAATTTGATTTTTTTGTATTTCATTGTTAGCCTTCATAATAGAAATGCTAAATTGGAGGAAAATTTAATTCTAAAACATGGTATACTTTTCTATGATAAGTATAGAAGAGAAAGATAAGAGAATGAAATGTTTCTTTGGATTTAATAAACAGTTTTATATTGTATAAATGTCAACAATGCTACCACTAGACAAAGAGAAATCTGTTTAAAAGTGTACTTCCATTTCATTCTTATATCACTTTTAGCGACAATATGAAAAAAATTCTCATTATTTGAAAATTGAGTAAAAAAAGTAAGAATTCATACGTATACTCTATAGGGGACTCTAAAATTAGATGGCCATCCGTTTTGAGACAGGTAAGTGCTACTTTCTTCTTTCTGCCAAATAACATCGAATGTGGGTGGAACATATACAAAGTTGGTGCCGTTTGGACTAAACGGCGTAGAATCCGATGTGGTTTCATTCTGTCTGAAGTAGACCGCTATAAGCACAGGTTTGTTGGCAGTGATGAACAAAGTGGAAATATTTTCTTTCCATGTATAGGTTTTATTTTCGCCCATATTTTGCAACAAAGCGTTTCTCTTGTGAAGCCGTGTGTAGTTCAGGCCTTCCATTGTGCCCATGTCAAAGGTCAACGCTGTGTTTCCTTCTGTTGATACCATTACGAACTCTTCCTCAGTTACTTTTTGGGACTTCATTAATTGAAAATAAAATCCGGAGGATGGAAGGGGATGATTTATAATATATTGGTTATTTCTGTAGTACATGTAGCACAGAACTGAAATGACTTTGTTGGCGACGATAAACATTCCCGTAGCCATAGAAGAAATTCTTTTTTGTTGCATCCTTTGTATTGTATCGGATACGTTCAGCGGCGGTATAGCATATGAAGTGTTGTTAAACAGACTTAATATCAAACATTCACCGTCGGCATCATCGGGGGGTATAGGTGGAAAAGTAACGATATATTCCGTACTTAAAATATCAACAGGAGGTACAATAAAAATGTTTGTATCATAGCTGCTATCATTCCCTTTGTACTGACATGATAAAGATAGTTCGCTTTGATTCGTAAGAATGATCACCGGAGAAGTGACATTTAAAGATATAGAATTATTAACAATACTATGGAGTACGTCCTCGCACCCAGTTTTGGTATGTTGCTTTATGAAGATTTGTTTTTCGGAAAAAATGTGTTGGGAGTCATATCCACCAATTAAGCAGAAAATACTTGTGTTGAAATTACCGTTAGGAACAACAAATAAGGTACCAAAGGTGTCATGGTTCTCTGAAACAAAAGCTAAAGATTAGAAATTTAAAAATAGTAGATTTTCAAAAAATGAACATTGAGAATATATAAATTTGAAAACAAACAACCCTTTTAGTACATACAGTCATGTAAAGCTACAGTCTGTTCTTGAATTCATAAATTTTACAAGCAATTAAGTCATCCGGAGTTTGGTTCAAAAGAAGATACAAAAACATATCAAAGGTAATTATACAAGTTTAAGATGTCAATCAAAAGAATAAAAATACACTGTAAAATTATTATTTGAATAAAAAAAAAAATCTTTAAAACTTACCTGAGGAAATATCTCCAATATCTGAAACTATAGAGGAAGTACTAGTATATGGTTGTGATAAGAGCATATAAATAAATTGATACTGGGTTTAGTATTGTATTTCATCGCTTTAATGGTGATGATGATGATTGTCATGATGATGATGATGATGATGTAATGATGATTATGATGTTGATGTTGTTGATGATGTTGATGATGCTGATGTTGGTTATAATGATGATTTGATGATGATGATGATGATAAAAACGGTTATATACCCTGTTAATACTCACAGCAACTGAAAATTTCTTCTAATTCTTCTGTGGTTAAGTGGCTTTTATTTGGCCATACGCTGTCACTCTGAAAAACATAACAAGCGCTGAATGCAGTGTAGTCTCTCTCTCTCTCTCTCTCTCTCTCTCTCTCTCGTCGCAGTTGCCTAGTTGTACGGCTCAGGTTTATTCTCATTTTATTTTGGTTTTATTAATCATAAGGGTTTAAATTACATACAAATTAATCATAATAACACATTTTATCAGCAAAAAATTTTAATCCAAAATGCAACTCATATTGCTTTAAACCTTGATGACAAGTTAGACTAAAAGAAAGCATTAAATTGTTTCAGAAATATGATTTTTGTGCAATGGAATGTGTAGTATTATATAAGAAATCAATATTACACAGGACGAGAATAATGTAATTTTGCTTCAATATAAGCACATAAATATGAACGGCAAAAGCTTATAAGTATTATTATTTTTCTATTATTAAAATAGTTAATTACAATTTTTCAATCAAAAATTCCGTCATCAAAGTTGCAGCTCACATTGCAGAGCATATACGGAAATCTAAAAAAAACATTTTAAAAATTCATCAGATGAAAGATCAGATGCCATGGATGAATAAGCAACCCGTTTCGATCAATTACACCCACTGTGTGCTCTTTGTCATGATCGAACAAAAGTTAAATTCATAGACGATTCAGTGTGTGAATAATTAGGCCTGTAAAGGTCTTCTACTTTTACTAAATGTAAAAAACATCAATCAACATTCTACTGAACGATAGATTGCATTTTCTAATAAGGTCAGTGTATCGACCAGAACAACATCGTAGGATATAGTTGTATTAAATGTTGAAAAGTCCTCTGTTTTGAAGTTATTGAATTTTGTCATTTTTTATTATGTCAAAATCTAAAATTCCATGTGAGTTTTGAAGCAACGACATGAATGAATTTGTTCGTGTACACTACACCTAAATTTTCTCCATAGTTGCTGTTCGAAAGGGACTACGTATGGAGAAAGTTTTATCCATAGCGATAAGTGTTTAGTTAATGCCAAGAGCTGCTAAAAATATACATGTACATAAGTAAAGTACACCTACAATTTTGTCTTTAGAGAATCCACAATGCGTGCCTCCACTCTTTTTAGGAGTAGCTGATGTTACGGTGCATCCTTGTGCAGTTGTTGATAGTTCAGACTGATTTCTATATGCAAAGTAATTGGACAGAGGAACATATTCGCTTCCATTGTAGCCGATGTTATATATATAACCATATGTCAAGTAATCGGTGTCGTCGAATGTTTTCTGTAAGTCAGTTTTAAAAGCAAAAGGAATGAGATTAACCGAACCACTATCTCCAGAGAGGAACCAACATGTTTGCAAAACAGACACGACTTGTGAAGACCGAATGGTTAGAGGAGTATCAAGGTCGACTCGTCTTTGGATCTTATCATACTTGTTCGGAATGGTGACAAAATCATACCCGGAAATATGGATTGTCGTGTCGTCAAAGGCAGTCACAATCGTCAATACATTGCCGTAAGGACGGTCTCCTAAAGGGACTACCACGTAATGCGTTCCCCATAATGTGATTGGTAACAGTTGTTCCAGAAGATATTCTGCTCCTCCTGAATTGTTCAATGGTATACTTGCTGTGTAGACTATCAGCTTTTCCGAAGAATTAATTCGTGTTCCTGTTATATCGCAGCTGAATGTTAGAGATTTTGCTTCATTACTCTGCAGAGTAAGGTTCAACCTCTCATTTGGACACAAATTGCCTTCGAAGTTTCTTTTTTCAGGGAATATCAAGCTGACAGTTATATCATCGCTAGTCGGGTTGCCCAATCCCAGAATAGTCCTCCGTCTGATATCGTGGTATACCGAGACTACATATTCAGTTCCTAGGTAGTCATCACTCAGAACAAGGAACATTTCTTTTCCCATGAAAGCTATAACACTTTTCTCGGAATTAACGCTATAAATTGTATTGCGAGTCAAATTTGTTATCAATGCTGTCTTATTTGATCTTACGTCGCATATTTCTTTGCTGGTTATATTTAGATGCTGAGATGCGTAATTTTGTCCAGTATCATTAACAAAAAATAGATGATGTGGCGTTTGTTCTGAAATGAATATAATGAATAAATTATTTTTTTGTTTTGATTTTAATTAAGTAACATATTCAATTGCAAATAAATTAAAATAAAATATCCAAATATGATTAACATATACACAGTATATGATAAGAGTTTACTTGGAAAATATATTATGTTTTTATTAGGTACGTCAGTTTAATCTTTTTTTATATAAAAAAAAGTTGACAAAGGATAAAAGGATGTTTATTCCTTATATGCACCTGATCCGACATCTGGCCCCAAAACCATAAACTGAGAATAGACTTAAGTCAAAATTTCAAATTGATATAACTTTGGGAATAATTTCGATAATGAAATAAAACTTTCAACAAATGTTTGAATTGAAGAATTTTACACAGTTTCAAACTTATAAGCTAATACATCGAATGGAACTGAAGATATTAAAAATTAAAATTTTGACTTACATGTAAGTCTATTATCAGTTTATGGTTTTGGGGCCTGGTGTTTCATGGACAGGGGTCCTTGTTTTGCCCTGTTCACGATTTTGTATAGATAATAATACGTAGTATTTATGATATTGATCAGGTCGGAGAGAATACTCGAAATCGGGTATTATCCCTGAAATCGCGTATAATACTCGATATTAGGGTATCGTTGAATCCGCGAAATCGGGTATAGGAGGTGTAATCACCTAATAAAACTTAAACAATGGGATGGCGCATGTTGCCGAGTTAACTTTCATCTAGATACACATGTTTTCTAAAGGTATCACTAGCCAAGTAAGAATTTGGGCGTCAAGATTTATGCGCTCGGGACAACAAAAACCCGTGGAGCTCAGTACATTTCATGATCTGCACACAAAAAGGCGTTCGATTTGCTTTATATTTTTCCTTATGTTGAAAGTATATGCATCTTCCTAATGTTCATACCCAACACAACAGAATTGTAAAGTATCAGAATTCGGGAATTTATAATAATTCCACATCAACACGACAAACATGAACAATTTGTAAATAAATCAAATTATACGGAAAAACATTTCACACACAAGATATGATGCCATGTATGAACAAGGGATTGTCTATTGTATCTAATTATGCGTCATTAATTACTTTCACATTCATTTTGTGCATAAAATCAAAATTTATGAATGTATAAATAATGTAATGATAAAAATGTCTAAAATTTCGGCTAAAAGAACCCTCTTTCCCTTTTTTTGAAATTCTTTTTCTTTTTTATTTATCATTGAAATATATTTGCAGAATATGTCTTCAACATTTTAGCAGAGACAGTCATAGTTTCAGGAATACAGCTTATGAGAGAACATAACTGTTGATCGTTTAATTTCGCTAAGTCATCAATATATTTCCATCTCTTGGCGACTTCAAAGGGGGGGGGGGGGGGGCTAAAGGCCACTTGACCACCTCTGACAAAACAACCTCGATTGTGTTCTACATGTGTCCAAGAGACCTCTCTTTGAACGTCACGGTCGGTTAAACTCGGTAATTATTAATATATTTTTAATCGTAGGGAAGATTTATTCATCAAATAAAAATCATATACCAGTACATTGTAGGTAAACAAAAAGCAACCTGTTATTTTCTTACACAAAATCAGACTACAAGTAACTAGAATTCATGTTTATTTTTTAAACACATTTTTTCATTACAGATGAGTATTAGGAAAAGTTATTGCCATGAGTAACAAGTACCACAGATAAAATAACTAAAAGAAAACTGTTACATATTGTCTAGAACCAATCAGATAGTGCGTTGTATTAGCATATTATAATGAGGTATAAGATAGCGAAATAAAAAAAATATAGAAGGTAAAGAGGTAAAATTTACCCTGTCTATCAAATAGTATAATAAAGAAAGGAAGTGGCTACGATTTTTATGAAATTTTAATGTCCGATGAGGAATTATATTCCCAAAAAGTAAGACAAGAGTTTCCAAGGCAGTTGAACACTCCATTATTTCAGTTTGTTCATTAACATGTTCATAAACGTAAAAACTATAAGAAATGTGAAAACTTGACTATGTAATTCATATTTCAGTATGACTGTACCTCGATCTATATTGAGAAATTCAATGTATTATAAGCTCATGAAAAGATGTACACATTTGACTTTTATTTATACCCCCCCCCCCCCAAAAAACAAGAAAATCCTGACTTCTCGCTTTCAATTTTCACACAAATGGATAAAATAAAGGTAAAATGGCATATCTTGTATCGATTAAAATGCAACCAAAAAATTTACGGTGTCTTTGAATATAAATTTCATGCTAAATTGACATAAAAAAGATACTCACCTTCAATTAGCTATTTTCAAACTGTTTTCCCGTGGGTATTTATTTAATCTTATTTTATTTTCTTCTTTATAATAACTTTGGTATTCTATTATGGCAGTGATTTACAATTATGACTCGCTTATACTGTACTCTCTAACTGTTAGGGATAATTTATATTTCACGTGAAAGGGACGCCATACATTTTTCAGTAAAAATACATAACACGGCGTTCGTCGCTTAATTTCTTTAAAAATTTCACGTTTTGTGAATAGTGCACGAATTATAAAATTAAGTATATGGAATACTTTAATGGGAAATAAAGACAAACGAAGTGTAGTTATTTGTTTTTAGAAATTATATTGAAAAATAATAACGCCATTGTGTCCTCTTTGTTACCCCAGCAGTGTTTGTCGTGTGATTTTAAACTTATTTGACAACCGTATGAATTAGGTTTAATAAAAATAAATCCACAAGATACTGATGTACAAGTAACAGTTACTGGCATAATGCGCCGTTGCTTTATTCTTTAGTTTTTATAAAAAGTTGCACGGAATACCCGATTCGCGGATTCAACGATACCCTAAAATCGAGTCTTATACGCGATTTCAGGGATAATACCCGATTTCGAGTATTCTCTCCGACCTGTTGATTACTGTTTGTTTTTTTTTTGTTTTTTTTTGTTCGTGTGTTTTTTTTTTTTAGGTATTTATGCCATTTTTGACAAAAGGTTAGAAAACTTGTTCTTTCTTGAAATGAAATGACCGGTCCCTTACCTGTTGAGCAAGGATTGGTACAAATTGTCCGACAAACAACCGACAACAGAATAAAACCTACGTACACCATATCTGTCAAATAGAAATACATGATAAATTGTTAAAAACACCAATTTTGGACCAATTTCAAGAAAAAATAGCTCTAAAATTATATTAGGGGAAAATAAATATCAACATTTCTTTAACACAGAAAACGAGTTGTGTTACATTTTACAGTAATTTTTTTGACATTTTTCTTTTCATATTTAAAATCAGATTACACATCCTTAGATGTTGACAATCTAAAAATGATTTTTACTGCAATGATAGCTCCGTGAAAATACCGGAGTATGCATTTTTGGATAACTCATTAAACTTTTGATAGTAACTTTTGCCTAAGGGCTACTCAATGTATTTCCTGAGGACGAATAAAATATTACATACCCTTGGGTATAGTCCTTTGAAGCTAGTTATGTAATTTGTTATTTTTATTTTTTGTAGCATATACAAATGAATATTATTCTGTTGAACCACTTGCCGTCACCGTATCCGATATGGAATTGATTAAGGCTTCAACCTGCTTATAAACAATTCATGTTTCCTGCATGAGCCACTGTTATCTGATAATAACAAATAGAAACAAGAAGCGATAATTTACTGAGGAGGCTCACACAATCAATAAATAGAAAATACAGGAAGATGGAAAACAAAATAATTTGTTGCATAAAACAGAAGATAAATATATCACATACAATTAAGACAACGGGTATTAAAAGATAATGAGATTAATTGAATTTGATATCGGGAAAGGATTAATGACTTTCAGACTTTCCCTTTTTAGCGAAGATAGAAAAACGTCCTTTCTTAAAATGAATAATTATGCTACTTTTGTCTAAAGTAGCTTTATGTTAAAAATTTCGCTTCCTTTTTAGTGTACATATAATTGATGAAAAAAGTTTTAAAATGCAATTTATGTTATAAATTCAAAATTTTTCATATAGATTATATTAACCAAAAAAAAGATGAAATATGAAATTTATTAGTTTGAGATCACGTGAGTGACTCTATTTATATGTGTAGTATAAACTATGAAAATCTTCTTCTCTGCTCCTCTAGGCATCAAGGAGATAGAGTACTATATGTTATAATGAGCAGAAGTGTCCTATGGGAATCTTGAATCTTCTGAAGTCAAAATCTTTATGCTATATTGCTATTTTGTCGTAGTCCAAGAGACCAAATTTAAAATAGCTTTTAATGTTGCTTCTGTAATCTCAACAGTGTTGTTGTCTGCAAATTAAGAGATAAATTATATAATTGTGAAATAATTTATAGGCAATTGAATTATTGACTGAAGTTCTAAGTCTGTTTCATGATCCTGGGGTCGGGGCAACTAAGTCAATTGATGTGGTGCTTTACCAAACTCTATTGTAGACCTCTCTCGCGAAAAATTATATCCATTTGCTTTTCAAATACTTATTACTGAAAAATGTTTAGTAATTCATCGGTCAGTTGAATAAAATAATTAAAAAGAATTTTAAATTCATGTTACAAAATTGATTTCAATAGTTTTATGGTTAAATAGGCATGTGGCAATTAATTATTAGATAAATGAGTATGAGACAGAAATCTTGTGTTATACATTAATAATATTCAAAGACAAAAGAAGCCGATATGAGAGGGAATGATATGGATATGTAGTCTGTGTTCAAACACATTATTTTGTTTAATCTGTATGGCGATACTGACAGAAAGGTAAGTAGATTGAGTAAAATGATTTGTTATTGAGAACTGGACTAAATTATTGTTGATTTTCTATCGTCCTTCTTGATTTTTCCCTCGCTTTTTTAGCGTTTCTTAATTCACCAGTTTCCCTTTTACCTATAAGTTGCATAGATCATGCAGTATTGTATCATATTTAGGTGGCCGTTAAAGCCCTTGAGCCTTTCGTTGAAAAGCACAATGAAAAGAATAACAATAGCCA